CCCTAAGGACGTGAGGACCATTTTGGCTTTTCTTAATGATCATGCCGGTTAGTGTTGCCACATCGTAATGCTGTGTAAATATAGCAGTCTATTTGCCCAGGTAGAGAGTTTTTGTTACACGTAACGCATGCTGGCACTAGCATTGTATGTAGATCTAGTAAAGCGTCCCACGTGTAGTTACCTTGAGCTGTACTTTGATATCTTTTCACTGTTACTTTGCACTTCTGTTCCCTCGTAAGTTCGCTACTGTCACGCTATTAGGTCGCAACGAAAGTAATGCGGATTCGACCTCAATTTCAAAAACTCATATTTTTCTTTGAATTGAACTTTATTCCTAATAATAATTCCCACAAGCACTTACACCAGTCCGCCATCGGTCGACAAGGAAACAAATGCCTCTCCTTCAAAATTCGGCAGGTTTCGAGTCGAAGAAGTGCCTATGTCCGCTTCCCAGTCATGTCGAAGCACTGCATCTCCTTTGCCAGCTCCTTGGCGCTTGCATGCGGAAAGTCTTGAAGTAACAGCTCCAAACGTTCGAAATTGAACTTTCGTTGGGCGTCCATCTTCGAGGTTGTAGTTTCCTTCGCGGAACCTTCTGAACCAAAGTTGGCAGGTTTTTTCACTTACCACTCCCTCTACTTCCACAGAGCATATTTTGCGGCAGGCTTCGCTCGCTGTGTGTCCCAGACAAAATTCGCAAAGAAGTCAGTGGCGTACATGGGTAGAAACTATGGCATTTTCCAGGCTCCAAAAAGCGTGCAGGAGGTGAGACTCGAGAATATGAAGGAATATCACCATTCCTGTATATGGTTAAAAATTTCCCCTCCAGGTTAATGCGCAGCCGTTTGTCAGGACTTTGAAAAAATGCGCCAGGACTTTCGTTGCGACCTAATAAAATACTTTTCTGCCGTGGTATATCATATGCTCTTCCCGACAATCAAACTCGATTCAATGACCGAGTCGTTCAGTTGGTGGTGGGCCAGTCTAGGGGATATCACATTTTTCCTACCTTCGGTTTAGTTCGTAATTACTGACTTTGAGAAGCCATTGTCATGAACCGATATTCAACATACAAAATTCCGCGAGGAATCTCTATGCTTTTAGACAAGGTTCGATGTGTGACTCGTACTGGTAGGCTAGATTAATGCAGAGGAATTATTTTAGCCTTAGTAAACTATCTTAACCGATACATTCTACTCTATAAAACTCTTATATGCTCTGCTTGGCGAAAGGAACAGTAGAGATCTATTTCATACACATTTCTGATTCTCTGGCTTCAGGCAGACCTTATTTCCTTCCCTTTCTTGCGTTTTGTGAAAATAACGACTAATCTTCGGAAATGCAAGCGTTATTTAAGAATGGTGCACTACAAACTCCAGTATTTCAATGGGCGTGGAATGGCTGAAATTATACGACAGGTTGGTGCATTCTGATATTTCTGATTGTTTCTATAAATATGTCAAAGCGATAGATACCACTATTAAGCCATTAATTCGACAAAGCGGCTTGATTGACAGATTTTTCTGTTTACCTCTCAGCTGACGTTTGAGAGATTTAAATTCTTTCAGATATTTGCAGTCGCCGGTCAAAATTTCGAAGACGTGCGCTATTCTTTTGAGGAATGGCCGAAGCACAAAGCTGGTACGTTGCTCTAACAATTCATTTAATTCTGCTTGAATTTTTCCTATCATATGGCACATGAAGCTGTCAATTCAACCATATTAAAATGTTCAGAAATGCCGTTCGGTCAGATGCCAGTGCTGGAGGTCGACGGCAAGAAACTTTCGCAATCCTTCGCCATCGTTCGCTACCTGGCAAGGAAGTTTGGTAAGGAAAGCTCCCATCACAAAGGTGGTTCGTAGAGGATGAAGAGAACGCTTGTTGTTAAGGCTATGCTGGCAAGAGCGCCTGGGAGGAGGCAGTGGTCGATTCGGTCGGTGACCAAATCAAGGATTACATCTACGAGATACGTCCCTTCGTTAGGGCAGCGGCAGGACTTGCTCCCGGTGACGCGGTGAGTTGCATGCCGTCCTTCTCTACGAACACATTCAGAAAACCTCAATGGTTGAGCAGACTTAGCAAAATCTATGAAAGCAATGGGTAGATGAAATTAAGTGCGTTCCAATGATGAGCTTCTAGCACAGTTCCCGACCGTGCGTGCTCCAAAAAACGGCCTCCGAATTCCTCGAATCGTCCACCCCAGCTCTTCCCTACAAGACTTTCATGTAATTCTACAAAACCTTCCAAGTCGAAGAGACCTTCTGAAGGCAATTCCGGCAGGAGCAGATTTCTGACATGAAAGTGATGGATGGCTAGAAATGCACCATTCAACGTAGTTACCATTTTCTTCAATTTTCAATTCCTGTTCGAAGTTTTTGGTGCAAAAACAATCTAATAATTTCACCACCAGAATTTCCTTCTCCTATTTTGAAGCTGCACTTGTAGTCGTTATGGAACATTAGCAATCTTATCGAAAAATCAGCATGGTTTAAAATATTATAGGAGGCCCTGAAGAAAGACGTGTTTTTGCCAGCCCGCGAGAAGTTCTTCACATTCATGGAGAAAATTCTGAAAAACAACAAAACTGGTGAGTCGGAGTTGCAGAATAAGTTATGAGTTTTTGCTCCAATCAGAGATGTGCCTACTTATCATTTGTGACTTATTTTACACGTAATAATTCAGGATACCTCGTCGGAGATTCGTTGACCTGGGTTGATCCTGTACCTTGCCGACATGGCCACGATG